GACAGCCGTCGATCCCACCTCCACCGCCGAGGCAACCGCCGCCAACCCCTCCACCTCCAAGACAGTCGTCCCCAATCCCGTCCCCGAGACACCGGTGCTGCAATTCACTTCTTCTCCACTTCTTGGACGTGTTGTTGTAAGTCCATATCGTCCCGACGAGAACAGACGGTATGCCAAAGATGAGCGCGCGTTTGAATGGTTCCTCAAATCTACGAATAAAGAAATGTAAGTACATCCAAAAGATCTTTTATTGTTTATATTTAAAAAAATATAACTTTCTAATATATTATTTAATAGGAGGAATGTCGGCGTTAAATATGAGGTGGACCAGGACTGGTTTAAGGAGTTGATTGATGCGGCTGAAATGATGTCGGAGGAGGTATGTATATGTTTGTCTTGTAATATCTTAACGTATAAAAATTAATTGATGGATGATGATTGGTTTAAATTTATAAAACAGCACGTGAATGCATACTTGGGGATTATGCAAAGCAATTCACTATTTTCGGGGTTCCAGCTACAGGACAAGATGTTGGGCACTTATACCATCGTGCCGACTATGTTTTTTGTGAGATTATTTTAATCCTTTCTCTTTTCCTTGTCATTCCAATTTTATTAATAATTATATTAATTACATTATTAATTATTATTTTGTTATGTTTTATATAGTGGATTCTGGGGGAATTGGAGAAAGAGGTCCATGCTAAAAAAGAGCTAGCGGACTCGGACAACCTCCAATCTTTGATTCGCTATGCGAATGGGGGGTTCAGCGATTGGGGGAATCCGTGTACTTGGGGAAAGATTGAATCTGTAAGTTTTCAATGATTCCAAATCAATTAATATTGCAATCTTTCCTAAAAAATTAGTGAATTTCTCACAACTCAATGCAACAGATTATTGGAGTTGCGAATTTGTCGCAGCACTACGTAGCTTTCTAGATCCTTTTACTCGAGGGGATGATATGTGTGTATGACCCCCTACGGCATACGTATCAAAAAAAGGCGGACAAGCACATTCACGATTCCCGCGTCAAAGCACTCAAAAAAATCCAAAATCTAATTCCACTAACTGCGACGTATGCGGGAGTAGAGAGGGTGAGCAAAAAGTTCGTTTTGAAATTCATGAACCTCAAAAATACTATCTTGCAAGATGATAGAATTTCTTGTGGTGTATGCGTTGTGGAGATGGTACGAACTTTGCTAACGGGGAGGAAGTCCTTAGACAAGTCTAGCCAGCAGTGGGCTACGGACATGAGGCACAAAATTGATCGACAAATTTTTCAGTTTAGTACAGATCCAGAAACAATTACCGCCCAAGTTCTTTAATGACTCATGTAATACATTTTTATTCTTTTTGCATTTTATTATATTTTTGTTGTTTGTTGTATGTATGTGGCTATTCTCATACCTGAAAGAAAAAAATTAAACTAAATTAAACGATGAAAGATGAAAGAAATAAAAAATAAACTTTCGAGTAGAAGTGCGAAGGGGGTATGCGACAAATATGTGGCAATTCGCATCACTGAAAGATGAAAGAAATAAAAAAAATAAAAAATAAACTTTCGAGTAGGAGTGCGAAGGTGGTATGCGAGCAATATGCGGCAATTCGCATACCCCCTCGCATAACTGAAATAACTGAGATGAAAGAAATAAATAAAACTTTCGAGTAGAAGTGCGAAGGGGGTATGCGAGCAATATTCGGTAATTCGCATACCCCCTCGCATAAAGCCATAACTGAAAGATGAAAGAAATAAAAAAAAATAAAAAATAAACTTTCGAGTAGAATTGCGAATAGCATACCCCCTCGCATAACTGAAATAACTGAAAGATGAAAGAAAACTTTCAAGTAGAAGTGCGAAGGGGGTATGCGAGCAATATTCGGTAATTCGCATACCCCCTCGCATAAAGCCATAACTGAAAGATGAAAGAAATAAAATAATCTTTCGAGTAGAAGTGCGAAGGTGGTATGCGAGCAATATGCCGCAATTCGCATACCCACTCGCACAACTGAAATAATTGAAAGATGAAAGAAATAAAAAAGAAATAAAAAATAACTTTCGAGTAGAAGCGCGAAGGGGGTATGCGAGCAATATGCGGCAATTCGCATACCCCCTCGCATAATTGAAAGATGAAAGAAATACGAAAAAAACATATTATGCACCAACTCTGCGAATAATATGCGACGTTTGTATGTCGCAGTTTTATCGAAGAATAATTTTTTCGACTAATAGTCGCAGATTCATTCGCCTAACAAGAATAATTATTTAATGGGCGACGGACCGAATCGTACATCGAATCTCCACATATTCGTCGCAGAACAGTCGCATACTTTAACTCATAATTTTCTCGCCCATGCTCATATCGGTCGTCTATCTATCGCCTAGTTCATCGCATATGTCTTCGTACTTTTTGGGGTGAAAAACTTAGTTTTTCTATTGGTCGGTGTGAAAAACTTAATAGAACTTCAAAACGGGGTGAAAATAGCTATTTTCACTTCAATGAAAATATAAATGAGAGAGAATATAATTGTGTGATTAAATGTATAGACTTTCAACTGTGCCTTTACACAAATATAAATAAAGTATTGTGAGTTATTTGTATGCATATAATAATTAATGATTTTTCTTGCATTTTTTTGCAGACCAAATTTACAATTAAAGGAGCTGGAATATTTATTTTTTTAAATTGCGTTTATCATATTGAATGTAATGTATATTTTGGTATGCATTTTTTTTTTTTGTGAATTATTTATTATTTATTTAGGAATTTCAAATACCTTTTTATTTTCCAAAAGAAGTTAAGTTAAATGTAACCACAACAATAACATCTAATCTTGTTAAATAGTCAACACATTATATGGTCAGCTGTAAGTAAATCAAAAGTTTAAAATGAATAGGAAATTCTCATTAGATAAATATAAATGTTCAAGTACAATAGAAGCATGACGCTTATGCCGAAGGCTATGCCAGGGAGCACCACCACATGTGGTGGGCTAAATACAATAAAACTACTAACAACACTAAAGGCAGTGAATACAAACTGAGCCCTCCAGTGTTAAGGGATAATAACAGATACTACACAACAACATAATAAGAGAAAAGAAAAACTAGCCACTGAACTAACTAAGTAGACCTAACTAGTCTTTCTTGCCTCCGATGAGCTCTTTTATTGCTTAAGGTAACTGTCTCTTGCCATTCTGCCCAAGCACCCACTAAAATGCCTCGCTCATGTCTCCAGACTCCTTCAAAGACCCAAAGATTACGCGACTTCCAGAGCCACCACAATATATATGTAGTGAGCTCTATTCTAGCCTCATTCACCTCAGTGTGCTTAATATTGCATATAGTGCCCCACCAATCTTTGAAGCTGCACCCTTGCTGTGATGGAATCTCACTCCATGAAACCTGGGACCTCTGCCAAACCTTCTGAGCTCGAGGACAACTCAGTAGAGCATGTTCTACTGTCTCAGCAGCTTCTCCACAACATCTGCACCTGACTTCAACCTCAGCTCCTCTGCTTCTTAGATTTGTGTTGACTGGTAGAATATCATTCAAACATCTCCACAAGAAGTGTTTCAGTTTGCCTTTGACATGTAAGCTCCAAGTTCTCAGTCTAACCGCTGCATTTCTTCTGGATGTGCTGCTGCCCTCAGGTAGGTCCAGAGAAAGAACTTTCCTTTGGTGAAGGTAGTTATAAGAGGAGGACACTGAGAATCTACCCTTTACACCCATCTTCCAGCTCCATTTATCATCAAGAAGAGGGTCTAGAGTTTGGATTTTGAGAATTTCTCTGCAGTCCTCTTCCTCTATCAGCTCTCTCAGTCTGAGTTCATCCCATTGGCCATTATCTCTTTGAATTAGATCTTTGACCCACAGTTTCCCAGTAGCTGAAGGGTTCTTGAGATGGAGACTCCTTCCTTTTATGCCAGGGATCCAGTTAAAGTCCTGTAATCTTACAGTTGCACCATTTCTTATGTCAATCTGCAGCCCTTCTTTCAGAAGCTCCCTCACTTTCCACAAGGATCTCCATATCCAGGAAGAGTTTTGTTTCAAATCAGCAGCAAAGATTGAAGTTGTAGGGAAATACCTGCTTTTCAGTATTTTGCTCATCAAAAGCTGTGGTTGGGTAAGAGTCCTCCAAAGCTGTTTCACTAGCATTGCTTCATTAAAGAGTTTAACATCCTTGAAGCCTAATCCTCCCTGCTGCTTGGATAGTGTCAGTAGATCCCACCTTTTCCAGTGAATTCCTCTTGAGTGATCAGTTCCTTTACTCCACCAGAATGTAGCAAAAAGAGAAGCAATTTCTTTGCATATGCTCAGTGGCAGTCTGAAGCAGGTCATGACAAACAGTGGAAGAGCTGTGAGCACTGCTTTTATGAGCACTTCCTTCCCAGCTGTGGAGAGATGTTTGTTTTTCCAGCTGATCAGTCTATTTTTCACAGCATCAGTAACAAAGCTGAAGACTTCCTTCTTGGACTGACCAATGCCCAAAGGTAATCCCAAGTATCTGGAGGATTTTTGCACTTGGATGCCAGGGAATGCAAGACACACTTCATTTTGTACAGCCATGCTAGTGTTTTTGCTGAAAAAAACTGATGACTTAGCCACATTCACCTTTTGGAATGAGAGGTTAAATAAATAAAAAGTAACAATTTTTTGAAGAAAAAAGTTATATTGACACATAAGTATAATTTAATAAGTTTTATTAACCAACAATTATATATATATATATAGATATTTAAATCAATAAATCCATGTATTATATTTTGTACGACAAATAATTAGACCTACCCAACATAATCAATAACGCACACCACACACCACCACCTGCCCGCCAATGCCCATTCTCTCTCTCTCTCTACTTCAACATGTATATACATTTCAGTATTTCACACACACGAGTACAAAAAAGAAAGCACGTTTTACAGTAGTGCAGTTGAAAAACTGTTGAATTAAGCACGTGCGGTATACATAAATAACCTGATAATAACCCTGTGTGAGGCCTAGCCTCTGTTGTCTTGTATATATACTGCCCAAGCTTCAATTTTCTTCGCTTCGTGCACGACAACACAACATAAACTAGAAGCTAAGAAGCATACAATTCAATGAATCAGCAGCTGAATTTGCCAGCGGGCTTCAGATTCCATCCGACGGACGATGAGCTCGTGGTGCACTATCTATGCCGCCGGTGTGCGGGGCACCAGATCGCTGTCCCCGTTATAGCTGAGATCGATCTCTACAACTTCGATCCATGGGATCTTCCCCGTACGATTTATTTTATTCTTCTCTTTTTCTTCTTTTGTCCGTCTGTTTACAAATTGAGTTTATCTTTTATGAATTGGAGATTTTTTTATTTTTTATTTTTTCTGATTGTCATTATTTTCCCTGTTTTCGAGTACCCTGTTTTGCTTCTGTAGTTTGAATAATCTACCCTAAAAAGAAAAGTTCAAACGACACAGATTCAATAAAGAAAATTAAAGTTCCCATCAAGTTGTGTCTAGTTCCAATTTTCATCTTCCTAAAAAATAATCTTTCTTACAGTTTATTATTCAGTTTCAAATTTTTCAACTTTATGAATGACAGAAATGGCACTTTACGGTGAAAAGGAATGGTATTTCTTCTCCCCAAGAGACCGAAAGTATCCCAAGGGTTCACGCCCAAACCGGGCCGCTGGGACCGGCTACTGGAAGGCCACTGGGGCCGATAGGCCCATTGGCAGGCCCAATACCCTCGGCATCAAGAAATCTCTCGTCTTTTACGCTGGAAAAGCCCCAAGAGGAGTCAAAACCAACTGGATTATGCACGAATACCGCCTGGCCAACGTCGATCGATCTGCGGGAAAAGCCAACAATCTCAGCGTACTTCAAATTTATTAAAATATCACTTGTGAGTTGTCCCAATTCGTTTGTAAAGAGAAAATAGGTCTAACTTATAAACCTAGTGGGCTACTTCTCCTACTACCAATTGGTTTTAGGATGGAATTTCACTATGGTGTATCTAGGTTCACCCTGTTATGGTGCGTTTCACCGCACCCGTTTTTTCCCGATTCTTACAAAATTTACACATCCTTCCTTATATTAGATTCATTTAATTAACACATACTTAATTTCATCGGTTACTTACTTTGGGTACATTCGTGTGGTTGAAGCTCGATGATTGGGTCTTGTGCCGTATATACAACAAGAAAGGGACAATCGAGAAGCACTATAACGTGGACGAGACAGACGTGCAGTTCTCAGACAGCGACGAACAGAAACCTAATGACAGCTCGTACTGTGACATCATAGCGCAGTTTGACCTCTCGGACTCGAAGCCAAAATTGCAAACAGACTCGAGTAGCGAGTTTGCATGTGGTGATAATAGTAAGGAGGTCGAGAGCAAGCCTAAGTGGAGTGACCTGGAAAATTCGCTCGATTTTCAGCTCGGTTACATGGATGCGTTCGGGCATGACCCGTTTGCGTCCCAAGTACAATATAGTGATCACTACTCCTCAATGTTTCAAGACATGTTCTCTTCGTACATGCACAAGCCTTTTTGATCTATGGGATGTAGACTTGTAGTGTGGGCTTTGGTTGACCGTTGATGTTTATGTGGATGGTGGATTATCGGAATGCAATTAGTTGATGTGTAAAGATAGGAGCATTTTTGTATGTTTAGGGACCATAACATATGTGGTATCAGTTTGTTGTTTTCATTTTCTCCACAAATGAATGATAATCATTTTAATTTCGATTTTGTATTGGAAGCAAATAAAGGAAGCAAGACACAACTTTTATCTTTCTACTTTTGTCATCATACATTTCCTGTTGATTTCGCTTTTCACACTAATGTTGATCGAGGAAAAGCCATTGCTCTACCGCGTGGTACAGAGAATTTAATACAACAGAATAATAAGTCTATAGTATTCACAATTGAGTAAATAAGTTGGACTAGTCATGAAAACAATCATCTAATCTATTATAAGGAAACACAAATTTTATTCCTTTCAGCAATGCCCATATATTTATATTTTATGTGTAAATAATTAGNTAAAAAAAAAAAAAAAAAAAAGTTATTACAAGCTATATGGTTGAGGATCTTGGAGGCCGATCGCAATTGGCGGGAGTCCAACCAATTAGTTGCTTCTCATTATCATAGACCAACAATTTATCTTGCATCGATATATCTGTACCAGAGGAACATGTACAAAGTGGGATTATCATGTATTCATCCACTAACATACTTAAAATGTGAAACTCAATGGCAAGAATAAACAATTCTTAATTACCCCCAATCATGTTGAAACTGTTCAATCCCACATCGGTACCATTTAGAATTCCCAAACACGCATTGCCCTTGCTCTACAAGAACACAAATCCAAGTTCTTACACAAGTTTCTTGATTACAAGACAGGGGAAGAGAGATATTAAAAGGATTAGATTGAGAAATCTTACGGATATGATAAGATATGATTCGGGAGTTATTTCAAACTGAGATTTGGACCTCCAACCATTGGGGAATGTGAACGAGAGAGACTTGAAATATTTTCTAACGTCACGAGTGCTCTTGAAAGGTTTTTTGCCTTTCCAGCAAAATGGGAGAGTGTGATCCTCGTTTGCCTCTGTCAGTGGCTTCCCACTTATTTCTTTCTTTATCTGCAAAGATAAGAGGCAAACGGTAACAATTTTGAAAAAAATTGTAAAAATGTGGTAATGAGTCGCAACATAAAATGGCACGAGATTCTTGCAAACTCACGAAAGTAAGAAGCGAGTGGTAGATCTGAGAATTGAAGTACGTGTAAGAGCTCCCACTGTCGAAGATTATGTTCAGATTCTTGAATCCCGTGCTTTTCCCGCCAAAACGTAGCTCTGCTAATCCAGCTGCGTAGTGCTTTCTGTACACAATCACCGATTAACATGTTATATAAGTGTCATGCATTTCCCACGAACAGTAGAAAACAAAAAGG